GAAATAAATGTACGTATGCAAATTTTCAGCTGGAAGGTGAGGTGAGGACGCGTGTTGTTTGTTGGAAACTTTTGAATGGAGATGTTTTTTTTCTCAATACTGTTTTTGTTTTTGGCTTTTTTTATTTTTACCGGAGCTGTTGGCATTGTGGCACGTTCCAAATTTGGTCAATTTTATTCGTAAGTAGTAAGAAATACCCATCCGGACATGCCACCATCTTGAATACCCATTCGGACATATCACGAGGGCACGAAACCTAACCCAACCTAACCTAACCTTAGGTTAGGCCCCCATGTCCGAATGGGTATTCAAGATGGCGGCATGTCCGGATGGGTATTTCTTACTACTTTCATATATTTTTCAAAAGAGTAGATGTTTTGCATTTTTTTTTCTTCTTGTGATTATTGCTAGTGCAGAACTTGCCTTCCCATCCCGCCCTATCCCCATGACCTAGTCCCAGCAGCCCTGCGCCATGTCCACGGAGGAGGGGCGATAAGCTACACGCAAAACCACTCCCCTAGAGGAGATTGCAGCTCAGCGCCGAGAGCCAGTCCGCTGCAACACTGCAAGCTGCAACCGCGGCGCCGTGCCGTTGCTGCCGTTGTTGACTTGGTTGACGTTGTTGCTGCAGCCGGAGCGACACACAATTGCTATGAAAGGTTGCCGCAGCGCGAGGCACGGTTTCGCCATGCAGCGCAAACCCGAGTGCATCTGCGTGACATTCTCGGCAGCGATTCGCTGCTCGGCAGACTGATTCCGCGCAGTACCTACCTGTCTGTCTGTCTCTCTCGCACCGGTACGTACGCAGCGCCCCATGAGTGCGAGAGAGAGACCTCCCACACGGAATCGGTCTGCCGCTGCCCGCGAGCATTCCGGCCCGGATCGCTCTCATTCCTCTTTCGTTTCCTTCATTAGAGACGCGTTTTGTTATTTTTCATTTTTCATAAAAGGCGGCGGCGGCGCCCTGTGGTCCCTGTGGCGGCGTGCCTGCGTGCCAAGTCGCCACCTTTCAGGGATGGCGCTGTCGGTGGCCGGCCGGGCCGCGATGGGGTGGGGTGTTGCGGGGCGGGGCGGGGCTGGTAGGGGTGTCGGTGGCACTCGGTACTCGCCGCGTGCGCTGCTCTGGTGCAACGTTTTTTTCCCTTCCTGATGGCCGGGCAGCATGAGTTAGTACGCCTGTGTGACCGTCGGGTCGACAGACGGGCAGGCGGTCCGGCAGGCGGACGGGCAGGCGGACGGACAGGGCGACCGGTGGAGGCATCGTTCCGCGGTGCACCTTAAAGGCCTCCGAATCGGACGGTCCACGCCGCGGCGCGCGGTTGCTTCGCATGTTTGTCTGCAAGTACCCATTCTGGCGTCTGGCGCGGCGCGGCCGGCGCGGCAGACACGCGGGCCCCGCCCACGGACACCTCGCCGCAGAATAGATGTCGACGGGGACGCCCCAAAACCTCTTCTTTACCTCGGCGGCGCGAGTCCTCCGACCGAGGCCGAGCCAGAACGCACGTCGCACAGTGGGCCAGAAAAACGGTGGAGGCGGCCAAAACTCTAGACGCGTTTTGAGCTCCAGAGTCGCTAAACAGCACTCGAACTGAACATGTGACCCCACCAATGGATTCCTCGTTCGAGTCCCATTTAGCGACTCTGGAGCTCAAAACGCGCCTTGAATTTTGGTCGCTCAACCGGTCTTCTGGCCCACTGTGCGTCGGCGAGCACGGGAGGACCGTCGCTGTCGCGGCGGGTCGCGGCGACACGTAGCAAAGCGGAGCAAAGTGAGCTTCGAGGCAGCGGCCGTGTCGTCCCGGCGGCCCAGCGGTCGGGTCTGCTTGCTCTTGTTCTAGTGCGGCCTGCATGCCTGCCCGTTCTCGAGTCAGTGTGAGTTCGTCTGTGTGTGTCCGTGTGTGCCTGTGTGCGTCCGTGTGGGATTGCCAAGGTCGGCCTGCTCACGGCTCTCCGCTTGCTGGTCGCTGGCGGCCTGGCGGGCTGGGCCTACGTTGGATACACAGGGCGTGGCGGGGCGTGGCGGGCGCCGGAGCGTCTACATGATTGGAACTGGAACAGGAAATGGAGGAAAACCGCTCCAGCAGTGGCGAGGAAGTTGGCGCGGGATGCTCCCGAGGACAGCGCTGGAAACTGGAGTGCAGGAAGGCCATGCGCACGCAGCACGCAGCGCTGTGACGGAGCAGAGGAGGTGGCCAGCGGCTTTCTACCACCTCATTGCCGGCCGCCGTGCTCTTTGCAGTGGCCAAACAGTTCCAGCTGTGCGCGGCGGGGCGGGGCGGGGCGGGGCGGGGCGGGGCAAGGTGGGGCGGGGCGGGGCCCAGCTGACATAATCAGGCTCACTTAGCGGGTAATCCGAGAAAATGCGTTCGCCACCTCTTGGCCGCGCCCCGCCCCCCCCGCCCCGCCCCGCCCGCTATGATTGTCGACCCCCCACAGCCCGGCCGACCGGCTGCAACCCAGGTTAACGGGATAATAGGCGAGGATCACCGTCCTCACAAAAAAAACAACAAATAATTCAATTTTTAAAAAGTACTTTTTATTAATTTGAAGTAGTGGTGGACTGAGAGTGGCTAGGAATGACGGCCACACTGGTCGCGTCGTGTGCGGCGGCCGCCTGGGGCTGCCAGTGTGCTGTCACTGGTGGCGCGCGGCGGGCAGCCACTGCCGGCCCCGGGAAGGGAGCCGTGATTGGCCGTGATGGAGGAAGTCTGGCGGTTGTCGCGGCGATGCCGCCACGCGACAGACATTCGAAAGGTGTCTCTTTTGTGTCACAGCGCTGGACGCGCGACGCGCATTCCCGAAGCGCTCAGGTGCGTTCCTCGCTAAGGCAGCAGCGCTACCGCACGCCGCCATGGCGCCGCGCTGACGGAGCGAGCCACACACGTGGAGCCTCGTCACACACGTGCACCACACGTGCGCGGCGGAAAAAAAATCAGTCACGAGTTGAAGTTTAAAGATACTGTTTTGTTAGTTTTTTAAAAAAGTGAAGTGCGGCTCCACTGCGGGCTTGGAGCGGCACGCTGCGTGGTGGCGCGCCAGGATAATATGAGCCCAAACGCCCCGCCCCGCACTGCCCCGGCGTGCGATTATCGCGGAGACAAAAGCGGCCCGGCCAATCGGCTGGTCTGGTTTGGTGAGGGGCCTTCGACGCCAAAGGGGATAAGTAAGACGGAGACGGCAAGCCAGCGAGGAGAGCCGCGGCAGCACGGCGACGCGACGGCACGTGTCGGACTGCCGGACGCGCCGAGCGGGAATCGACGGCACTGTAAGGCAATCGAAATGCAGCCATTAGACCGACACGGCGACACGGCGGTCGGGCTATTTTCGAGTCGCCAAACACGGCGGGGACGAGCAAGGGGACGAGCAGGGCGTCGTGTGGGTGGGCACGGCCAAGTGGGCCTCGTGGCACGGCCCGGCACGGCCGCGCCCTGCAGAGCGACCGCGTCGACGGCGACCCGGCCGCGGTCGCGCCACTTTATCAGCGAGCGCCTGCCATGGCCGGGGTAGGCAGGCCCGCGGCGCGGCCGTGCGCCGGGGAACCGCGCTGGCCTACCCTCGCCGTCGCAGGCGGCAGCGCGAGGCGGCCGCCAGGAGGCCGCCACCAGTGCCGGCGCGGTGCCCCGACCCACGACGGCGACGGCGTTCATTTATTCCACTGGCATTGAGACTACCGTGCTCCGCAGCGCGCCGCGAGGAGGAAGGTAGAAAAGCGTGGCCATTGCCACCGGTCGTGCACGCCGGCCACGCCGGCCACGCCGAACGACAACAACATCAACAACAAGAGTGCGACGCCCAGGCGGCAGCGGCAGCAGCATGGCTTCAAAACGCAGTGCGCTTTCTCTGTCGTCCTCCGCGGAGCGCGTCGTCGCCTTCGTCTTCCTCGAGCCAGTGTTGCAGTGTAGGCGAGGCGTGTGTCACCAGCTGCATGGGTCAGGCCACGCCAGCCAGCCAGGCCCCAGGCCAGGCCCGACACCGAACTAGGAGTAATAGCTCTATCAATGGGTTCGGCATTGCCTTAGGCATTGCCTTAGGCATTGCCTTAGGCATTGCGACAGGCCGGGCAGAACTCTCTCTCTCTCTCTCTCTCTCTCTCTCTCTCTCTCTCTCTCTCTCTCTCTCTCTCTCTCTCTCTCTCTCTCTCTCTCTCTCTCTCTCTCTCTCTCTCTCTCTCTCTCTCTCTCTCTCTCTCTCTCTCTCGCTTTACGAGACGGCAGGGCAGTGCTGCCAATCCTGTTGAACAAACAAGCACGCGTCGGGAAAGCAAGCGCCAAGTGAGTTCGAGCTCTCGGCCGTACGCGCATTTAACGGCAAACAAGTTGCCAACTGCGGCCTTTGAAAAATAAAAAGTTTCGAAGTTTTTTTTCCTGGCCGTGCGCTGCCCATGCATGCATAGGGCAAGGCGTCATAGTTCCGGCGGGGCAAGACGGATAGCGCGAGACACCGCAGCTGACACACTGCACCGCCTCGGCCCCACACTGTCATCCGGCCCGTTTCTATTGCATCTCCATCTGGCGATCGTCCCTCCGATTCGGAGCCACTTCGCGACTGGCGAGTGGGGCGAGTGGAATAGTGGACCCTGCAAGAAACAGACGCGCGCCGCACCGAATCGCACGTGTGCTCGTGCGTGCGTGCGTGCGTGCGTGCGTGCCTGCGTGCCTGCGGTGCGTATGCACGTCGTTTACATTTGCGTGCAGAATGGATTACTTATTCATACCCGCGATGAATCGACAATAAGCGTTGCTTTAGCATATCGCGTACGGGGACCACGACGAGGACCCGCAGCGTCGCAGGGAGAGAGGGGTGGTGGGGAGAGGCGACGTGGATAAAAAGTGAAAAAGTCAGCCGGCCCACAGGCCGCACACGCCAGAGGGGAGGATAGGGGCGAAAACGGAGACGGCGAGGACCGCGGCGAGGACGCTGCGTGGGCGGGTCCACCGCGAGACAGAGACAACGCCAAACTTGCATTGCCGCCAGTTTAATCGCAGCCTGTCTTTCCGCAGGGGCATGTTCGCCTCGGTGCGGCGCTGCCGCTCGCGCGACACCGGCACCCAGCTGGCCGCCAAGTTCTCCTCCAGGCTGCGGTACGGCGCCGACTGCTCCGCCGAGATCCACCACGAGATCGCGCTGCTGTCGCTGTGCAGCCCGTCGCCGCGCGTCATCAAGCTGCACGACGTGTTCCAGACGGACGCCGAGATCATCCTCGTCATGGAGTAGTAAGTAGAGGCGGCGAGGGGAGACGGGTCAGCGAACCCGCCGACCACCGACCGTTTCGCCGGCAACGTTTCGCCCGCGTGTGGGCGTGTGGGTTGGACGTTGGATTAGGCCCGGGGAGTCTAGCCCCTCCTGTCCTGCCCACTCCGGGCCGAGTCGTCCGCCGCCGTCCGCGGTGACCCCATTGTAGACGTCGATGGTGATTGAAGGTTTGCCGGCGGTCGGCCTGACGGCCTGGGCGTCGCCCCGCCGCCGTGCGCTGGGGCTTTCGGCTTTTGGTGCCGCTCTGCTCTGCCTGGCTCTGCCCCGCTCTGCCTCTGTCTTTAGGCTGATCTGGACCGGACCGTCCGGACTTGGCCGCGGTGCTTTGGTGCTCTGCCCAGACTCTGGCGGACTCCCCTTATTCGGACAGCATTACGGGCCATCAGCACCGCCGGGCACAGCACGGCAGGCCGCTCTGTCTCTCTCGCACCCTGCGGACCGCCCCACGAGTGCGAGAGAGACAGAGGGACGGAAAGCAGCCTGCCGCCTGGCCGGGCCAGCGTCTAATTTGTCGAATCGCTGTCGCCGCGTGACCTTCCATCGGCCGCTTTTTCTTTGGCGTAAGAAACGGAAAATTGGTGAGAGTGTAGACAGTGCATGATGGGTGTGCTCCATGCCCGCAGCGCGCCCGGCGGAGACCTGCAGACGCTAATCGACGACAACATCGTGCCCTACGAGTCGGACGTGGTGACCTTCACGCGCCAGCTGGTGGAGGGCCTGGCGTACCTGCACCAGCGCAAGATCGCCCACCTCGACATCAAGGTGCGCAGGACGGCAGGACGACGCAGGGCCCGCGAGGGAGGGCCGGGGCTGAGGGTAGACCAACCACTGAGGCTGGTTTAATCGTTTGTCGGTTTCACAGCCGCAGAACCTCGTCATGATGGGCGACTTCCCCGACTGCGACGTCAAGCTGTGTGACTTTGAGATCTCGAGGGTCATCCTGGAGGGCACGGAGATACGGGAGATCCTGGGCACGCCGGACTACGTCGGTGAGTGCGATGGACGATACGAAAACGGCGAGCATGGCGGCCATGGCGATGGCAGGGCGACAAGGCTCTCGCTGACCCACCCGCCTCTGTTGCAGCTCCCGAGATCCTGCACTACGAGCCCATCACGATGGCGGCCGACTTGTGGTACGTACGGGCTGCACGCTGCAGCACGCCGCGGAGGCGCGGGGCCGCGCGCGGGGCGCCGTCCTGCACGCCGCAGCACGCCACGCAGTACCCGGCGTACCCTGCATGACGTGCTGGCTGTGACAGCGCCCGCACGCTGCCCCTCTTTCTCTCTCTCGCTGCAGGTCGCTGGGCGTCACGGTCTACGTCCTGCTCACGGGCTTCTCGCCCTTCGGCGGCGAGACGGACCAGGAGACCTTCTGCAACATCTCGCGCGCGCAGCTCGACTTCCCCGAGGAGCTGTTCGAGGACGTGAGCGCCGAGGCCCAGGACTTCATTCGGCGTCTGCTGCAGCGCGACCCGAGGTCTGTCTGCCTGCCGACGTGTCCGTCGGTCGTTGACGAGGCGCGTTGCTTACAGTGTTGTTGCCGTTGCAGGTCTCGGCCCACGGCCAAGGAGTGCCTCCGACACCCCTGGCTGTCGCAGCGGCCAGGGGCCTCGGCCGACGGCGGCGCGGGCCGCACCCGCAGCTGCGCGTCGTGCAGCAACGTGCCCTCCACCCCCAACCTCCGCAAGTACCTGTCCAAGTCCCGCGAGGCGCTGTTCGAGCGCGTGCTGCAGCGCGGGGGCAGCGCCGGCGGGCTGCTCGGCACGGCCAGGGCGGCCAGGGCGGGCCCGGGCGGCCGCCTTTGCGAGAGCCAGACGTCGCTGGTGTCCAAGTCCCGCGAGCGCGAGCTGCAGGCGGCACTCGTGGCCATGTCGCCGTCGCTGAGCCGCTCCAGGGAGAAGCTGTATGGGCTGCGCAGCTTGTCGCGCTCCCAGGAGGTGCTGGCCATGTGCCGCGCCCTACCCGTGCTGCGCACCCTCACCCGCGCCACCACCGCGGACCTCAGCGAGCTGGGAGTGGGCCCCGGCGCCGTCGCCCCCAGGATGCGCCTGCACACGTCGGTGGGTTCCGAGCTGGACACCCTCCCCGACCTAGAGGACGAGTCCGAGCCCCTATCCGGTTCCTTCTCCACTCCAGCCACCCCCGCCCCGCCGGCCGCCCCACAGCCGCCGCCCCTGGAACGAGCCACTAGCACGCCGGCCGCTACCAACGAGGCCGCGCCCGCCGTCGCCGCCCCCGTTACGTTTACCGCGACTTCGACTGTCACGCTTGCCACCCCCGCCATGACCGTGCCAACCCCGTGCCTCGTCATTCCTAAAACGGCAACCCCCACATCCAAGAGTGAAGTGCCCACTGCGACGCAGACTTCCATTCAAGACAATGGGGTGCGCCCGGCAGCAGCCCCCAGCCTGCACCTAGACAAGGCCGCCGCGGCCTCCGCCACTACCAGCACTACGTCGCCTACCCCGGCATCCACTAACGTGTCCTCTGCGGATCCCCTTACCGCTCCAACTGCAGCTAGCTCCACGGTTTGCACCGAAACCCCTGGCGCTGAACCGGACGTGGAGGCCGAGGCCGAGGCCATCCTCAACGCCTTGCGGCGGGGTCTGCTGGCCAGGGGCTCCCCCACGCTGCCCGCGTTGCTGGCACCCCTCATGGTGGCGGCCGCCACGTCCAGCGGCCACGGCGGCGTGGTGGCCAACGGCTGCCTGGGCGCGATGGACCGAGCCATGGACCGAGCCATGGACCGAGCCATGGACCGCCAGTTCGACGCGGAGCCCTCCGCGCCCGGCCTTGGCTGCGGGCTGACGGTGGCGGGCGGGACGACCGCGACGGCGGGGCTGCAGCGAGAGCAGTCCACGCTGTCCTCGCACTCGGAATCCTCGGAAAGCACGCTGGAGGGCGACGATGACGGCCAGGGCCTTAACGACGAGGACCTCAACGAGGACGAACTGCAGGACGACGACAGCGACACGGAGCAGCAGGCGCAGCAGCAGGGCCAGCAGGATGAGCAGCAGGAGCAGGAGGAGCCGCGCTTCACTGTGCAGCAGCTCATCACGGCCTACAACCTGCACGACGAAGTGGTCACCAAGTCCTCGCTCGACTTCACCATGGCCACCAAGGCCACCGACCGCGAGGTGAAGCTGCCGACGCCTCTCAGCAACGGCGGCGAGAACAGCAAGAGCAAGTTCCCCACTGGTCCCAACGCGTTGCGACTCTTCATCCCGGACATCGACATCACCAACGCCAAGCCTCGGAAGACCAAGACCAAAACGAGCAAGCTGTCCTCCACAGCCCTGGCCTCCTCCATCGAGAAGATAGACGAAGAGCCCGACAGCGAGCAGCAGGCGCGCCTTTCGCCAGATACCATGAACAACAACATCAACACCCACATCAACAACAACATCGGAAACAACAGCATGCTCGCCGACGCCGCCAAGCTCGTCATCCGCGTGGACGACATGTCCGAGCCGCTGCCCGATTGCACCGGCAAGAAGGCCTCCCCCATCCCCACCACGACGTCCGTAGATCCACCCGAGCCGCCGCCGCCGCCGCCACCCCCGCTGGTGTCCCTCCTTGAACCAAAGAAAAGCCCCAAGACCGCCCGGCCTTCCCCCGCGCCGCCGACAGCACCGACGCCGACGACGCCGACGACGCCGTCCTCCGTGCAGCGACACCGCCGCTCCGCGTCGACGCCCAGCTCGGAGCCGTACTCGCACTCGCGGTCCGCAGGGGTGTCGCCGTCGCCGTCGCCGTGCAAGGCGGGCGCGGGCCGCGGCGGCGTCGCCAACGGCGCCAACGGCGCCAACGGCGTGCACAGGTCCAGCTCCGGGGCCGGGCGGAAGTCCGGCGCGGCGGCCGGTGGTGGCGGGGCCGGGGCCAGCGCCTCCGAGAAGCTGAGGAGGAAATCCACGCCCGTGTTCAAGTGAGCCCGGCCAAGCCCGGCCCAGTGTCTGCCAGTGTCGTCGGGGTCGTGCTGGCAGTTGGCGCTGGCAGCGCACGGCGCACGGCAATGCCAGGCACAGGCAATGCCTTCACGCGCTGCCTTCATTCCGCGCGCGGAGCGGAATGTGATCTCTCTGAAGACTGACAATATTGCAACTGTTTTAGTCTAATTCAATGTACCTTTGCCTGTTCAAGAGCGTGGAAGAGCATGCTTCTGGAGTTGGGTGCGGTGTTGTTCCGTGCTTGACTCAGTCGGAACGGTTTAAAAAAATAACATGTGGAAATCTTCCCTTAGAGTAGGTGTCTAAATTGTATCTTCTGAACAATAAACTCGATTTATATTTTCATTCAATAGGGCTCATGGACTTAATTATTGTTGACCCCAATGGGGATAGGCAAGAGGTGGACGCATGAGCAAGAAAAGTAGACTATGTTGCTTAGGAGTACAGATTTATTTGGAATTATGCATGGTCACTGTAGTGATGATTTGGAAAATACATTTGTACTGCAAGTACACCGAATGATTAACAACACTTATTATATTACATGTCACACATCACATACACACGTGAGTATATGTCATGCTCCACAACTACATTGATAATCGTGCAATGTAAATAGGTCATGAATAATAGCACAAAAGGTTCAACTACACCTGCAAGGTACATGATTAAATAACAAAGCCCAAACAAGCTCGATTTTCATGGAGATCACACTGAATACAGAAGAGAGAAAAGAACAATGAGAGTTGATTCACCTTCCATTAATGGTCCTAAGCCATCATACCTATTTAATTCATACTACAACATTTAGATCCTTTAAACACAAACAGCACATCTAGAATATTCCAGATTTAAAAAAAAAAAAAGTCAAAATGCTAGGTGTTTTTTGTTGTTGTAATTTTCTAGTTCTACATTGAGATATACAATAAGTGAACATTCATGAACATTGACCAAATAGAAGTAATGAGCAGCTAAAACACACATGAAAGTTAATGAAATAGTTCTATCACTCCAAAAATAAATAAAAGAAAAGTGTTCTGCAGAATGTATGAGGAAAACCTAAACACAATCATGACACTCAACAAGGAGCTCCTTTGCAAGCAGGTGTACATTAGGAAAATTAGATACACTTCCCTTTGACTCTCTAGCTGATGTAGAGGCAAATTTATAGGCCACTGTCAATAAATAAATCCACATACACAAATAAATACAGTACACTCACATGGTCACTGTTACCAGCACATCAACAATGTTTCCTTAAAAGAAAGCAAAAAGAGGAAAAACAAAGTAAGAAGACCATACAACAGACTGAGTTCCGGAATGTGCATTTTGCACCAAAACTCAAACATGTATGAGAACAAAATAACATCACACGGGAGTAGTAACAACTTAAAAAATACTGATCAAACTGGTTTCTGAAATAAAGAAAATGCAGGAAGTGACAAACATTTTAAAGTAACAATCGATTCAAATGTAGGTCACAAATCAGCTTAAAGCTCAATTCAGGCTGCATAAAAACAAAACAGTTCAGATAAAGTATGATAGTCAAATAGGCATGCTAACCAGTAATGGATGAAATTTCCAATTAACACAGATTAAAGTAACAGTTACTTTGTTTCCTTTTGACAATTCTAGTTGCCATTAAATTAATACATATTTTTATATTTACATACACACATACCTACTTAGACCATAAATTGGAAAGTTCTAATGGTTCTCAGTACCAAAATAGCAAAGAAAAGATGTGCTGTGGCTACAAACTCATACACCGAACCTCATACAACAGATGAGGGAAAAACAACAACTGATTTCACATTAGGGAGACAAACAAAAACTAACGACACATTTCTAGCCTTTGACACTTTAAAAGAAAAACACAAGGTGCATGTAACAGAACTCCACAAAAATTAGTGCAGCCAGAGCACATCAAATACTTTCTGATAGACAAATGTATTTCCTACAGAAAAGAGTAAAACAAAATTGTACCAGGAGCGTTAGAAGCTAAGGGCAAAGACACATGCTCATGCCACAATACCAGCTACACAACAACATAATTGGTAACAAAGAAACTGAATATTAAAAGACCCAGCTAAGGCCCTCACATATCACAAACAAATCAATACATAAAAATGACTTAAATACATGACAGGTATAAACAATAGAAGCATGAAATTTATTCTTTTTTTTTACAAGTATATCATCACAGCTTACAAATAGAACAAAAAGAGCAAACTGGCACAGGTTCAAAATGAACCCTTTAAAGTATTATGCTTTGCAAAGTTAAGAACAAGAAGAGCAAACGATCTTCAATGGGCATTAAATCTTAGTCTTGAAGCTTTGCATAACCACAGCCTAAAGCCCATCATGTTCATTTTGCCACTGGTTCAAATTCATAATTTATTTTAATTAAATTTCAGATACTCTTTGCAAAATGGATGATCTTTAGATTGCAACTATGCAAATAACATTAAAAATACATGTATAAACTACCAAGCCCATCCCTCAGCTTCTAAAGTTCCCAGATACACCATAACAATTCTGTACTGTACAAAAGAAAAAAAAAACAAATATTACAACCTCTATACTTTGCATTAAATAAATGCCCATTTTCCTAAAGAGGTCTCTCCACATTTTTTTATTGATTTTTTTCCTTATATTTTTTTGATAAAGTGTATGTGTGTCAAAACTTCAGAACCATCCCATACCTCTTGTAATGAGGATGTCAAACTACCAATGGTGCAAACCACTTTCTTACAATTACCTATGCATTTTTCACCAATGACAAATGAAATGTTATCAGAGTTCACGGAAAAACTCCACTAATTCTATGCAAAGTATAGCTTGTACTGTAAATTGATTGGGGTCCAAAGGGCCATTCCGTTCAGTAAACACAGTTCAGAGCTAATACAGGCAAGACAAATCCCTAAAACATAAAAAACAATTCATTTTACCAAAAAATTAATAAAAGGGAAATTTTGGTTAAAGCCTAAAACATAGTAGTTGTCAATAATTTAAAAAAAAAGGCTTCAATTAAAAGTAAGCCTTAATGTTTTGCTTGAAACCTGTATTATGATGTGAAGCGTCTACTGACCGAAAGGGCCCGGCCACATTCTTGGCATGCAGCATGGCCATTAATAAAAAAGGAGAGCACGCCGGATAAGTGCGTCCATAGACGCTCCGCCCGCACAACCCCTGTGCATGCATAGTGGTAGTGAGATACCTTGCATGGAGTGACGTTTCCCAAACGGAAGAGAAAGCCAATATACGAGCAACAACTTCCATTCAGCCACAAACAATGAAAAATAAGTGAACGGTTAACCAATATCCAAAATCACAATTCTAGAAAATTGAAACTTCTGTCCCAAACACGGTTGCTGTAGGCTTGAGAGCCTATCAACCCTACATGTGCTAATGGTGATTGCTGTCAAATAAGGAAAACATAAACTTGAACTGACTGATAAGACTTAATCAAGTCTAGAGGAGTGTAATAAGTTTGGACAGCCTCACAGATTGGGGCAAGCAAACATGAATGAAAAGCTGACACAGAAATCACCACCCGTGTACTGGTTGTCTCTTCACAACTTTGTCAAAATCTTCAAGTACTCCAGTGTATTTTGAGCTGCTGCAGACTGCGCTTCCTTCGATGTGTGACCAGCCCCATAGCAAACAGCAACAGGTAATGTGGAGAGTTGAATCAAGCACTGCATCTTGCCTGAAAAGGAACACAACATAAAAATATCACAATGCGAAAGAAGCACACAACTCAGGGTAAAAGATGAATGAAATACTTTACCTGTCATGGATTTCTCTTCAATGTCAATATAAGATACCTCAATTTCTTGTTCGGCAGCAATTTCCTGAAGGAACTTTACGTAGTTGAAGTCAGGCTGGTTCAGGGGTTGATTCTAAAAAAGCACCAGATTAAGCATATTTTAGGCGACAACTTGTATCAATAGGTAAAAAAAATAGTATTTAAGCTTACAGATTTTCTAGGGATCCAAACAATTAAAATTTAAAAAATGAAGCACCATTGATGAAATTAAAGAAGCAAAATTAATTTTTACTAACAAGAAACCTTACCACCACCAAAAATAAACATAAACCAATATTTACCTTGAGCTCATCAAGCTTGGGCCCGGTCGAGCATTTAATGTTCTTGTGGAACTGAGACACCTTCACATTTAACATTGCAGTCATTGTACTGAATTTATTATCTTTCAGGCCTGCAAATCGGCTCGCCACGTTTGACACTCTTTGAGAGATCTACAAGGAATCAGAAAATTGAATAATGGTTAAAGATTAATACCATGAAATGACTTAAATTATCCTACACCTTAACATTTTAGGAGTCGATGTAATGGACAGGTAACTGAACCTAAACACTGTTTAAACCTTAACACAAATCGCAGCCACACAGTAAGAGATCACTTTAAATAACAAACTCGACCGGGTTACATCAACCCAAGAAAGTATCAGAGATCAAGTATGTCCCCGAAATAATGCTACACCCATGGCTCATAAAGAGTAGAAATAACTATTTATTTGTTTTTAGATTATCTTCTTTTTTTTTGAAAAAATTAAGAGCAATTTTAAGTCATTATCTGACCAGATTTTTGAGTCCTAAAAGCATCAGCAACTTTCTGCCAAGGAACTCAAATAAGTAACTTATCATCATAGAGAAAGTAACTGCAGAAAAAGAAATTTCCAGAAGACTTCAAATAATAAGGGGATAAAAATTGTACATAAGAGAATTGTGCAGCAACGGAAGTTAAAGACAAGGAGAAAAAAAAACCATAGAATGACTTAACAGATGTCAAAACATACCTCATCTTCATCCTCATTGTAACCCATGCGCGCATTGTTGTGTTCCATTGAGGAATCTTCCAATTTGTCCAGCATCTTGTGTGCTGCTTGGCGTTTGGCTAACTTCTTAGATTTGCCACAACCTATATAAATTGAGAAAAAGATAGTAACAACAAACTTATATCGAATGCTAGCTTTACTTTATCAGTGTCAGATATTTACCGATTTCTTTATGGTTCAAAATGATGCAAGCAATTGTAAACTGGCGCTCATGAGGCAGTCCCTCTTCACTCTCCATTTCATAAATTGGAGGCGGCCACCGGCGAGACATGCATTGTTCTTGAAGAGTTCCAATTGGATTACCCGGGATCTTATCATCGTACGGCGAAACTATTTGTCTGAGAGAAACAGGAAAAATACATGTTTGAATTGGACAGCACACAGATACATTAATTCACTTCAATGAATAAGGAGTTTAACTTACACATCAGGTATGTTTGCAGTGGTATTATTGACCATTCCCTCATTCTGTCCACCGATCAATTTGTCCAAAACAGCTTTAGCTGCAGCATGCTTTGCTTCCTTCTTTGAACGTCCTGTGCCCAAAGCTACAAAACCACAAGGATACAAAACATAGTATAAAACATTAAAAAAGAAAAAAAGAACATGAATTAAAATGGAATATGACTTACCAACAACATCTGCCACAGTAACCCTGTATCGGAATGTAGGTTCATGTATAGCCCCCTCAATTTGGACCAGCTCATAAGTGGGTGTTGTTCCTCTCCGACTTAATAATTCTTGGAGCACCGAAACCGGTGTCTTTGAAGGGAGTTCTTTCATCTCCTTTAAAAGGAATGGAAAATATTCAATTAAAAGTGCCTACCAATTAATATAAGCAGCAGATTCATGATGAAGTGGGTAACAACAATAAAATAAATAGTGGGAAGGGAGCAGGGAAATAAGCTAAAAAGCAACATGTGGGGGGAAAAGTTAGCACATGCAAAAAAAAAAGAAAAAAAGCTCAGAAGTTGAAGCATAGCAAAGCTACACACAAAATTAAAAAATGCAGCATAACATTTTATGACAAATTTACAAGTAGAGCACTAAATTCTTATAGGTAATTTTAATTTTGAAGCTTAAAATCCTCAATCCGGCAAAATATTCTCCAGGTGTGGAACTCAAATTTGCAAGAATCCTTTCTCCAGATAGATAGGAAATATGCCTTCAAACAAAACTACCTACAACCTAATGGGACTTGTTAAATTACAGTATGCGCTCATAATTGGTTGGGTCATTCTTACCAACTTGGCTGCCTCTTCTAAGGGGAGGTTCTCAGACAGCATAGATTTGAAGGTTCCTCGTTTTCTACGCCACTGATGATTTTGAGCGGGGATGGGGCCAGGGCCCGAACCCGGGCCCATAACGGGAGCCATGCCGTGACCCATACCAGGACCCATAGTAGGACCCATGGGACCCATGGGACCCATACCGGGACCAATACCAGGACCCATACCGGAACCGGGAACCGGGGGAAGGGCGGGGGCAGGCACAGGCATCGTAACCATGTCCATCATTGTTTATTCACAAAGCACTGAAAATAAATTAGCTTGGTGAAAATACAGCCAATTGGTCCAATCACCACAAAGTAAAACTGATGACAAGTTATGAAAATATTGATTAGTAACATTAATGATCTGACAGTGGCAAATGACAAAATTTAGATTAATCCACTTCTCAGCCTCCACAATTTTACTTAAATATAAATAAATTCAGATTTGCAGCCAGATTATTTTTAAGAAAGTTTAACCTGAACAACACTTGCTGACCAAATATCCTTCACAATCAATGAGATAAGTGACTTCATGCTACATTCAAAATGAGTGCCCAAAACAACATAAGATACAAACTATCTACAGGTGGCAAGAAGAAAATGCAAGAGGCAAGTCCAATGGTAAATGCATCTATTAAAAGTCAATCATATTTCTCAAGGGAAAGGGTCTTGGTGGGGAGTGCCAGCCCCCTCTCATCTCATCTAGAGGTGCATTTGACAGAGAAATGCAGCCCAATTTGATCTCGACGCCAAGTGGCGGAGCGCTGCGCGCGGAAGTGCTTAATTGGGTAGGACTACGGGACGGCCACACGGCCGACTCAGTCCCAGCCTACTGGCTGAGGTCAGGGCACAACGACCCAAGGGTCAGGAGCAGTCTCCATTGCCCACTGCAGCTTGCAGCTTTAGAAGAGCGGCATAGTTTTCCTAGGATTAGAATTGGACTTACTTTCTTTTTTTAACTCTTAAAGGCCTGCATGAAATACAGGTCTGTATGAAATATTAATGTTCAATCTACATAAAGAAAATCCCCCTCAAGGTCAGGCTATCATGGCGATGCATTGTTTTACCGAAGGCAAAGCAAGAAACTAACACATCCACCCAAGATATTATTTTGAATTTTAGTTCAATTGAAGATTAATCAACATCCTAAAATAGGCGAAGGAGTGAGATTGTTAAAGGAATATGAACTGTAATACAAGCATGAGAAGGTAAACTAATAAGGTCTGTGCAAATTGTAGTGTACAGGGCCTTATCAGTTAATGACAATGGCATGGTTATGAACTTTGATTATATATTTTCAAAACCAAGCATTGACATTATCATAAACATCAAACCAGCATGTTGGCAGAAAGCTAATAAACATCGACTGTTAAATGTTATTAACTTTTGAAAGACAGAAATAGGTTCAGGTCACATTACATATTAGTATATCCTGAACATATCTGAAGCTCACAGGACACATGTATCAGAGTCAAACAAAAAAAAATCACAAAACAATGAAAACACAAGCAGATATGCAGAGACATACTGAAACAATGAAACATGTAACAAATAAAACATCCCCAGCACCAACACAGTAGCAAAAATAGGCTTTAACAATCTAGGCCTAACCTCGCAAGCAAACATCCATGTTAATGTGACTACAAGCCAGACGCCAAAAACTTACGAAAATGCCTTCAGCGGTGAGCATATTGCTTTTAAACAATCACGAGACCCACAAAATAACTAAAGATTTACATCTTGTTTAGCGGGAACAGGTGGGGAGGAAGCGGCGGAGAAATAAAATCCAACCGGTAAGGGATTCTAGCATTAATGGCCTGGACTAGCGGACGGCCGGCGCCCTGACTTACTCTTTTTTAACGAAATTGAGCGCCCCAACCTAAATTATTCTAAAGGTGAATGAGTTGTTGAGCCCGGGATGAGAAAACTAGAGCAGCACTCAGCTGAGCGGCGCAAGCCGGGAAAATCAGCCGGTCTGCTAAGGCTGGGTTACACTATAAAGCCTGTCAGCGCCAACGCTAGGCCCGCACGAAGCACCCACGAAAGCCAAAGCTCCAGAGCCGAACATGGGAATAACGCAAGTTGATTTCATGAATTAATCTTTACCTCTTCGTCAATAGCTCGTCGTATTCTCTCCACGGTCTCTAGGGACGGGTAACTCATGAAACCCAACGAATTAATTTCACACACAAACGCCACAAATCCTCTCCCTGAGAGTCTGTGCACAAGTGCCGTTGTCGGCGACGGCAGCGCGATCTTCCCCCTGGTGGTGGCTCTGCGAACTAGAAGAGAACCGCAGCTACATTTCACAAAAATTATGTGTCAATACGGATATTTCGGTGCCGGTGACATGTTCTATCGATATCCTAACGATACAAAAGACTCAAATATTTCTACTTCACGAGAAATATCTCACTGTCCGTCAAAGGAAGTCAAGAACAAGCCGATTCAAATTGATCGTGTTCCGACGCCAGTTTCTTTTGTTAGCGGCAGAGCTTCCAAAGCAGCCAACTCTCCTGGGTACATCGTCTTTCAATGCAACGTAAAGAAAGGCAATACGGTTGGAATAAATCACAGAGACAGCATGGCTATCTACTACAGTCAAATTCGAATTTAGGTTTTTACGTGGAAGCATTTGAAAAGAGGATTATCGACAAAAACATGGCACTGTTTATTTTTTCAGGTTGGTGACACCATCGGAAACACAGCAGAAAGTGGCTATGGCGAATTCAGAGTCCGCTTTTGAGGCCGTCTTACTCTAGTTGATGTGCAGAAGAGGTGGCAGCGGGTGACTTTGTCCTGAAAAAAGGTAAATTTATGTAAGCGAAAGTTTGTACAGTCCGTCGCACTGCCAGCCGTCACTTGATGTGCATTGCCGTCGTGCCCGGTCCGAGTGACACGAAAATGACACTAAAGTGACACGCGTGGAACCGCGGGAAACCGCGACCGGCGCGAAACTGCCTCCCCGCCGCCCACGCATCCAAGGTCCCGTGCTCAGGGTGAGGTAAGAACAAAGTTCGTCTAGGACTGAGGTCGACGCGATCCTGAATCGGGGAGGAAGCCTGCCGACTGGTTGGTGTGGAGCCTCAATCCAGACTGCAGACTGATTCCGAGAGTCGTTTTCGTCGCTCTGTCTCTCTCGCACTTACAGCCTGAAAGTGCGCTAGAGACAAAGCGACGAAAACGACTCTCCGAATCAGTCTGCTGGTCTTAAAGCAGCGGAAGTGGTTGCGAGTGAAAGACACGTTTTGGAGGCGGCCATTTTCTGTGTGACTGACTGGCGACCTGGGCCGCGGGGCCCGCTCGGCCCGTACAGTACACGCCCCACCCCCACCCCACCCTCCTCGCGCCCTCTCTCTCTACCCTCCAAACCCCGACGGTTTGAACGCGTCAGGTTCCTCGGTGGATCTGTTCGTTCTCGGTGGCGAGCGTCAACAAGTGCCCTTCGGCTTGCGGTAGGCCAGCAGTGCGTCCGTTTTATAGGCCGTCTGCTCGCGGCGGTGCTGAGGCGGTGCGGCGCCTTGACGACGCGGGGCGAGCGGAACGGCGCGGCGTCGTTAGGGCGAGTACAGGACGCGGTGGGGCGGGGCGGGGTGGGGCACGCCAAACTTGACAAGGCGCCCCTCGTAGGCGCTCGTTGGCGTGTGTCGGCGCCCTCGACGGCAGGAGACTTGTTGAGTGCCCATCCCCGGGTGGGTGAGTGAGTACTCCTCGTGGTTCGTATCGGGCGTTGTTGTGCCGTGGCGAAGCACCGAAGTACCACCGGCATGCCGCAGCAGATTCCAGCGAGATTCCGGCGTCCCCACCTCCCTGGGGCTTTATCAGCGGACCTGGCATTCCGTATCGAAAACCGGAGGGCGATGCCGCGCCGCGGCCCCGGCGCCGCCCTGGCTGGCCCCGCCCAGGGGTTGAAGACCGCGCGAGGACCGCGATGATTGGCGGGACGGCCCTCGGCACGGCCTCAGGAGCCTGGGCTGCGGTTGGAGGCAGCGGCCGCAGAGTTTGCCGTAAGTACTGCTAATTCCGCCGGAGCTCTGCCCCCCCCCCCCCCCGCTGACAGGGTGGATGGCTGACCGTGCTGGCCGCCCTGGCCGCGCCGGATGCATTGATGCGCCCCGCCCCGGGCCGCCGCCCGCCCCGGCCTCCCTGCCCTACCGCACGAGCGACGTCGCGAGGCACACCGCGCGCGCCGCCCCTGGCTGCCCCGGGCCGCCCCTGGCCGCCCCTTCGCCCAGCTCCGGATTCGATCCAGCCCGTCCGGACCGATCCAGACCTGCGAAGCCGTCCGAGGGGTGGCCCGGGGGAGGAGGACAAGGAGGGGGGTAAAGCAGGCGGCAGAAGTCGCGCTGCTAAACGCCGGGGAGGCACAACGACAGCGACAACATGGTGGCCAAAGTGGATTACAGGGAATTCGCTTCCACTCGCCTCGTCCTCGCCCCGTCCATTTCCGCACTGTTAATTTTCAATCACGGGCCGGCGGACTGGCCAGCGCGGCCTCCGTGCGCCCCCGCGGCCCCCGCCCGACCGCCCGTGCTGCCGATGCACGAGGAAGCGGCGCCCGGGCGGGGGAGGGGAGGGGAGGGAGGGAGGGAGGGTTGCTTTTAGCTGCTTTTAGCGTTCCGGGAACTGTGGCCGGGACGCTCGCTGGGGTCTGATAGAAACGTGATTGGCCCGAAGGGGTGGCGAGGCGCGGCGAGGTGCGGCCTCCCCGTGTTGCCCGGTGCGGTGGCGGATAGCCGGCCTGAGAGGGGGGGGGGAGGGCAAAGGGGCACTCTCTGGTATCTTTCAGGGCCGAAGTACTGGCCTTTTGCGTATCTTTCAGGCGGCTGGGCCCTTTGTCTCTCCCCCCCCCCCCCCGGATCCGCGCGCCTCGGATGCCCGGCGCGAGGCGCGAGGCCAGCAGGGGTGTTTGTCGGGGTGCCTGTCCGCCGCCGTACGGAGCCGCGGAGCACCGGGCAAGGACGGATGTAGGTCAGAAAAGGGGATCCTTCGCGGAGCTGGACTAGTGCAGGCAGCATGGGGGAGGCATGGAGACCGTGCGCACGGGGCCGGGGGTTGGGGTAGGGGTGGGTAGGGGCTGCCCGGGCTGTGTCAGGCCGTCAGGCCTCGCAGCCTCGCAGTGCATGGCAGGTGGTTGGCGGACTTGCCGCTTGCAGCGCTCCCCCTGGGGCGGGGTGGGGGCCACCAGGGCCGCCGGCTGTTCCCCCTCACCGCCCCCCCCCCCCCTCTTCGCCCTGGCGTTGC